TCACTGGAGCTGGGCAGTGCTTTAATGAACAGCCTGTCTGCTCCTCTTCCATATGGTCCCATCTTCCTCACACACTCCCACTGAGCCACTGTAAGACGAAGATTTTGCCTGGAGTGAATGATGGTGCGAAGGCTGGTTTGTGACCCACACACAAGGATGTGTAGGTATGGTGTGTGTGTGTGTGTGTGTGTGTGGTGATAGTTGGAATGACTGTGGGAAGTGTTTGTGTCTGCTTGTAAAGTGAATTAGGTTTGTGGGACTGTCTGTAACTGGCTGTTGACCTGAAGAGTTCTTGTTTAGTGGACAGACATCTCACTCTGTTAAAAAAAAAAAAAAAAAAATGGAATAAATCCTCAAAAAGAGGCAGAAAAAGTGTCTGTGTAGTTGTCACCTAATCAGTCAGCTAGCATAAGAGGTAGTTGTTCACTATTTTTCAACCACAGTCCAAGAGCGAGCCAGCTTATTAGCTTGTCATGTGGCTATACAAACAGAAACACATTTTATAACATTATCCAGACAATTATTGTTTCAAGAGTTGCAAATAGCTTGTTTTTTCCAACCAACAGTCAAAGCTCTAAACCTGATCTGTTAGTGATCCGTTTTTTTTTTTTTGTCATTCAACTGATTATTTCAGGTCTGAATTAACTGAAATAATTGTGAAAGGAATCATTAAGGACAATACTTGCTAGTTTCAGCCCCACATAACTGAAGTACAGGTTTTCCTCTTTGACCCAAAACTGAAACTGTGTTCCAGGTGAGCAGCTGATGTCACACCCACCTCCTGTCAGAATCTGGATGCGTCATGTAGGACTGCTGTGTGTAGCAATAAAGAAATAAAAGCACAATGAATTAGTCATTCTGTTTTTTGGGGGGGTGGGGCTTTTGCATTTAATTCTGTTATTTCCATTTGTGCAAATTTGAGTAAAAAAAACAAGTGGTCATTTTATGTAAATCTCACATCCTGACTAAAACCTGAGCTGTAATACATCTCATATTAATAAGCTTAGTATTCATGACTCTATACTCGGTGTAGGTGCTCTATGCTGCTCTTGTGACCTTGGCAGTTAAACTAGCACAAAACTCACTCAAATTGCACATAACTTTGTCAGATTATTATATGAATCAATTTCTCTGCCACAGACTGATTCTTACTTTTTGTTCTTGCATCATCCTTCCTTTCGTGTGTTTGGACCGTCCTTCGTTCAGCCTCTACAGTGGTGTCTCTCAAATGTTACACAAGCATTTTAGATCAAGTCTGCACAAAGCATTGTGACAAAGAGGAGGGGGGAGAGAGGGAGAATGGACAAATGGAGACAATATGAATGGAGCTGTTATAGCTGTGTAATGCTTGAATTGCTGCCCACCCTTAAGAAAGTCCATATGCACAACCATTTTCTGCATGGGCACATTGTATATAAATGTAGATGCAGCACTCTTTTAGGGTTCAGTGCTTACGTTTTGTTCTCATGCCCCTGTGAAGGTCTGAGGCTTATCTCGCTTCAGGCCCCATGGTAACAATTACTTTCCCACATTCATTTTCATATCTTTTTCTCACAACAGTTTCCATTGTGCAAACTGCTTTTGCTTTCAAGGGACTTTTTTTTCTGTAGGTGCATTTGGGCACATGAATCCTTTAGTTTCTGGGAACGGGCAACGAGCCACACAGTACTTAACTGTGTTGTCGTGTTTTATCCCGTGGGCTTCATCATTCCATGATGGAATGAATATCCGTTTTTCTATTTAGAGGATTCACATTCTTTTGCTGCCAACATCCAGTTTTCTCAAATCCCAATTCCTGACAAACTTGCAAAGTGAGCTGCTGCCAGTGATGTGGCTGACAACAAGATGTGTGTTTTGCAAGATGATAGTGGCATGTGTGTTTTTTGTCAAGACTGTGATATAAAGATTTTTTTTTAAGCCCTTATGTGTGGTGCTATTGCAAGCTTTGCTGCTGAATCCTGCTTTACTGACACATAACACCTCCAGTTTCTTGTCGGGCACATTCAAAATAAACTGTCCCCCATTGTGCTGTGGCCCACTAGAAAGAAAGGGTCTCCTGGATGTCCACACACTTAAAGATTTGTGAGTATGACAAATGTCTGGAGTTTAAATGTGACTTATTATTCATGTTTTCCTGTGTTCAGAATCGTGAGCTGCAGATCATGAGGAAGTTGGACCATTGCAACATAGTGCGCCTGCGCTACTTCTTCTACTCCAGTGGAGACAAGGTCAGTGTGCATCTTCTTATTCTTCATGTGTTACCCTGAGGGAGCAGATTTAATTGTGTATAACCCCATAGTGCCATTTTAGCCCCACAAATGGAAATGAATGTGGTGTGGGTATTTTTTTTTTTAACTCGCCTAAAAAATGTTTTTTAGGCATACAAAACACATTACATCTTTATTTAAATGTGCAAATAAATCATTTCAAATAATTCACAGGTTCCTTACCAGAGTAGTGATAATAGATTTATACCTGGTATACTGTACAGACATAACTCTAGGAGTAAAATTCATTTCATCACTTAATGAAATGGCCACAGATCTAAAGTTGGCTAATATTATACCACGTAAACATACTGAAATATAAAAAGTACTTTTAACTCTATTTCTTTATCCATACCCAAATACAATTTTACAAAGGCATTAAATCCAAGTCCATCTGATCCAGTCAGCTCTTCAACACATTCTTAGGCTTTCTACACTCAAAACCTGTCATTGCATGCTGTTCAAGGAATCAAGAAATCTTCCTTTTTGTAATATAAAATGACATTGTTTAGAATCTCACATTCAAATATTTATACACACCTTTGGTTCCTTGTTGTTAAGTGTATGCAGGTGATCTTTATTGGTTAGCAAAGAGGCAGAAAAGGTATATCATTACCTTAATTTGCTTAAGAGTGTATGGAAATTTTTTTTTTTTTAAATCTACAGAAGTAACTTACGATTCCCTGGACTTACCCAGAGTATTTTAGTATTATTTAGCTCTCCCATGCTGCCACGACATAATGCATTGTAAATGATGATTATTAATGGCCATTACACTAATAAAGTAGGTCATGTTAGCAGTTTTGCCATCATTCTTCAGCTGCAGTTTGTCGCTTTTCCCTAGGACTTTTCTGCCTAATTTAGTTGTGTCTGTTTTCTGGTATTGCCTCTCGCCATGTCTGCCTCCTGGCCTCTTTTTTTCTACTATAAATACAGTAGTTCATAGAGTATTTTTTGACATGGGAAGTCCCTTTCTCTCCCCCGCTGCCCTCCATCCGAGTTCCCCTGGAGATTACCAGGTCACTGGGAATCACAGCTAATTCTTAGTATACTGACTTGTCACAGGAATGACCCTTCAACTTGCCAACTTGACTTTTGCAATAACAGAATGTTATTTTGATGATCCACAACTTCTGTTCATATCTCCTATTGCAGTCACATTTGCCCCCCCGAGCATGCATTCCTGTTCATGTATCCATTTCTTCTCCCCCCCCTCACCATGTCACTCCAGACTAATTATAGAGACTGGCACCGTTGTTGTTGGTGTGGGGCTTCACCACCCATAGAGCCCAGAGTGGGAAAAGGGAAGGGGGAAGGGCTTGTGAAGTAGGTACATGCTAACAGCACCCAGAAAAGGGGGTTAGTGGATGGATGGAGATGTACAAACCAGTTAATTGGTAGATTGGTAGGTGCTGTTCACGTCCTGTTGTAAAGGTTCCTGCTGGGTGCAGCTGTGAGACAGCTACGACTACCACTACTGTATCTGTCAGTGTGTGTGCAGGTGGCCTTATGTAACTGCTGGCACGTGCTGTGCTGGACACACAGTGTGTATTTACTTTTACCCTTTAACCAGTTGTATAATGCTGTACAAACAGAACGCCACAGGTACAAATAGCAGAGGCAAGTCAGCAAATACTGGGTCGACTTGTACCTCTTCAAAATATGCAGCGGCATATAAGGCAATCAGCTGACACAGAGTTGTCCTCTTCTGCTATTGCTTCTCAAAATCACAGTTATGTACACACAAATGTGCACAACTGCATTCAAGTAACCTACCTTGATTTTCTGACGTGAACATTCTTGGCAGCAGGTTGAAGCTAATGGCTTTTCTCTGTTGTAATGACATTAAAACAAAAACTCTGCTCACTTTCAGGTTTTGTCACATTTATTCTATGAACATTAAATCTACAGTATGTAACTTTTTCCAATATTTTTGTTGTAGAAATCTCCTCCAGAGCTTGTCTTAGTGTGGAGAGGTGCTGTCGAAGCCTCCTGTGACCCAGACTCATTGAACAGCACTGGCAGCAGTGCGGAGATATTAGCTTCCTCTTCTGGTTTTGAGTGGGATTGACCTCTCTAACCAATTAGATTTTCAGTTATTACTACTTGATCAGTAAGTTTTGTTGCATTATCATTTACTGTAATTCCATAACGACAAACATCTGAAGAGCTGGGCAAAGCCTGGCGGAGTGTAGCGGGTCATAGTAGATCATAGTGGAGCAGGGAGAGGGAGCATTGAATGGAGCAGAGCGGATTGATTTGGAGTTTCATGCTAGTGCTACCGTTAAGTTACATACCATAGCTTCAATCACAGTTAGAATACAAAATGTATAAACCACTGGAAGCATGAAATTATAAACTGATTAAACCAATTAGGGGTCCATGTGGCAGAAAAATACATGTTGGTTCCACTGCACATAGTAGCTGACTACACATGGTAGCTTAGTTGTCTTCCCAGAGAGCCACAAACCAACTAGTCCTACTGAATAATACTGGTTATCTGTGTTAATGACTATGTAGTAGTTTGACTAATCTTTATTTAAAGTTGCGTTAACTAACTTCTCCCTCTAATTTTCAAACATTGAGGGCAAAGTGAGAGTCAAAACAAACTCAAGCAGTGTCCCGTCCTCCCTTTGCTTCCCCTTGCCTCTTTGGCCCTGTCTCTGAATCTAGGTCACATGTCATGACAGCCAGAGGCAGTTGTGGCAGACAGGTAGCACAGCAGTAATAACCGGCTCCAGAAATAATGAATATGGAATATAGAGCCCGTGTTTTTTGGTGGCATTGCAGTGACACAATATCAAATAAAGAGGTCTACATTTTAGCAATATGAATACGTATGTCTAATGTTGTTTGTAGTGGATGTATCTGCAGTAACACAAGTTATATGGAGGAAAGGTTGTTTTGTTTTTTCTCTAGTAATATTAACACAGTACTAATGTTCCGGCCACTATTGCATTGCATTCAGTGTTACATATTTGACACATGTAACTGAGTTTTATGTGAAACAAGAGAAACTTCATGTTACATTTTGATAGTAGAACAAACTCCCCACTTTTCTAGTTGTATTGATGGCATAAATTCTAATAGTTTACAATTACAACCAGAATGATTCAGTACAAAGGTACAAAATTGAAATGCTAATGCTAGCTTGCTGATGACATATACACACATTCGCCAGCTACAGTACCTGCACATCTAGCGGGAAGAAAGCCACATCTGTTTCAAATTTTAGTCCTTTGGATGCTGTTAATGCTCTCCATCTCTGACATGCCAAACTGACGTTAACCCTGGTCTTGCCTTGTCCTTTGTCGCACTCTTTCTCTGCTACAGAATGTGGCCTGTTGGGGCTAACAGGTCTGCTCCCATCCTGGGTTGTACCTGCACAGAGAACCTCCACAGTCTGTCTTTGAAATGAGCCATACTGGTTTGAAAAATATGTTTTATAGCCTCAGATCAGCGGGGCGTGGAAGAAGTACGGTGCAGATTTTAAAAACTGTGGTCACAGAGGGCAAGAAATAAACACAAGGCCTGAGGATAGCAGAGTGGGGGTGGGGTGGGGGTTTAGTACAGCAGGGAGACACTTCTTGACATTTTTTTACTTGATTTATCTGAATTTGTGCTAAATCTTAGTTAATGCAGCTTTAAGAATACACACCATCAGAGCCCATTAAGGGTAGTCACAAGATGCACACAGCAGCTCCCACCTTAGTTAAATGCTTTGAACATGTCCAATTAATCAGATTATGTATAAGATTATGTTCAAGACTGTTTCCGCAATATATACTGAACCTGACACGAATAATCTTGCTCCATTTTATATGATGAGCACTTGAAAACGACAGGATTCGTACCCAGTGCATGTGGCTCATTTTTCCCCTGGGGTGTCTTGGAAGGTTAATGTGTGACCATCACAGTGTGGCTTTCAGGTGGCTAAGGCCATCAGACAGCCTTTACTGTTTAGTACTAGCTACAGGAAATGTATTTTAAAATATAAACACATACTAATGGTAACAGAAGGGCTGTGGTTACACAGCATTGCTTCTGGGTAATGAGCTCGATCTGGTGAGTAGTCGGTAGAGCTGTCGCCAAGAAACGGCGAGAGACAAGTGAGTGTATGGCAGTGCACTACACATATCTGGCTGTGGTCCCTGAACATGTTTATAGACTTGGATGCATAGTGTGATGTTGCAACTGCCTTCATGAGTGTGTGTAAGAATAAGCATAATTCATTCACTGCTTGTCTCTTGACCTCTTTATGTGCCTCTGCCATCTTCCTTGATTTCACAGATTCTTTAACACTGACTTTAAGTTTCTCCAGTTATATGAATTTACATAATCATTATGTCAAGTGCTGTCTGATGGGATGATTGCCTTACTCGACAACATGTCTGTTTTGTGCTTCCTGGTCATTCTAATATTAGCTACACTTCTGGAAGCCGACGTGCATAACTGTAGATGACATACTTCACAAGATGCAGTTAATTGTCCTACTTTATACAACACAACATGGTGATTGTTGGTGATGCATAGCAGAGCCGGTTGTTCAGATATAAGTGGTTTTGTTAACAAATTAGAGGGTGAATTATTTAGCCAGGTGTGAATGAGGAGCCAATCCGATTTCCGCCTTGCTAACCATCTGGGAACAAGCCAAGGAAGTGGCTTTGTAGTGATGCAGGAAGTGAGTCATCACTGTTGCTAGGCCAAATATAGCTTTGGTGGCATTAGCAGAAGGCGGAACAGGCTCTCTAGTCGTCACAAATGTTATCAATGGGAGTTTTGCTGTTGAAGGAGGAATGTATGTACACCCATTGTTAGAAGAGAGAGAGACAGAGGAATGTAATGGTGTGACAGATGAGTGTGTAAATGGCCTGAAAGCTCGTTAGAAAATGCAGCTTTCACCAGATCTGCAACCCTGCATGTGCGTGACTGTCTCCCAGTCCTCCCACTCTTCCTTTTCCACTCAGTCACCGGATAGGTGAGAGTGGGAGAGAGCAGTCACTACAAAGCAGGGCACTGAGCTGACAGAAGTGTACCACGTTGTCTGTTGAAGAGCTCACTCGTTGTGCGTTACAGACCTGCAGGGAACCAGCTCTGTGGACCCCTAAGCTGCATGCTGGGCACCGCTAACAGATGAGATAGAAGAGGCAAAAAGTTACAGACACTGATTGTTTGAATAAATGGAAGGGAAAGAAAGAGACACAGCAGATTATTCCTTCATTACAGTAATTTCATTCGGAAGCCCTGATTTATTTCTTATCCCGAGGCAGTATGTCTTGGCAGGTGTGTGTTTGTTTGGTCACCAACACCGTTAAAACTCAAGGTGTTCACTTCCCACCGGTGCAGTCCAGCTCCCTGGCAATATTGTTTCAAAGATTTAGTGTCCATGAAACACATTGTGTTCCAGATGTTTCCTGCAAGGCAGAATTACTCTTCTGCTAACACCCTTGGTCCTAAATTATGTTGCAGTATAATAAGGCTGGGCTGTAGCCACATCTTCCTATGGGCCATCTTCAGCTGACGATACAGATGTAATATGCTGTGTGGCATATACAAAAGTACAGTTTATCACATAATTACAAGCCCCTAAACCAAACATATACCCTTGTGATATCTCCTAAAAAGCCTAAATAAAGTGCTTGCAGTGTAGCTGTTTTATACTGTGTAAGACATTTGGGTAGGCAGTGAATGATGGATGACGGAAGTCCCTTAAAAGATAGGCCTCATGATATTTTAAATCTTTCTTTGTGTCAGCAAAACCCATGAAAAACCAAAGTCAGCAGTGAATTGATTCTGTTAACAAGTATTGTCTGTGTAGACGAATCCTAGTATAGTTTATTTCTCTGAGTCATCGACCTCCGCTGTTGTTCAGAAATGGTCAAAACGCATGTCTAACCCACCCTTTTGCACTCGGTGGCACGCGTCTTCATTACAATGAGCATGGACACTGTAGTGTATTTTTTCACATCAGATGTATTTAACCACTTCTGAAAATAGGCCCTAACCAATGAAGTATTTCCTTATTTAAATAAGAAAATACTGTGAGATGGACACATTGTTGATTTTGGTCTTTTTGTGGATGTTGTAGAAGACTTAAACTACAACCAAATGCCAGACAACCCTTATGCAGGTCAAAGAGTGTCATCTACAGGCTCTACTGCTCCTTCTAACACACCATCAGGGACCAGCAGGCCAGGTTTAAGATGTGAATCAGTATGTGATTTCCTACGCAACTCTATAAGACATATTGCACCTAAAAATAAATAAATAAAAATCTGAACTGTTGCATTCCAGTATGTGCTGTTGCTATGATCTTGTGGTCATGACTTCTATGTCTGAAACAATGGTTTCACAAGAAACACCCGATGACTCATTGTAGGCCAACGTTGGTCAGACTCAAAGGAAAAAGGAAGTCTTAGAATAACTAGGTGTAGAAACCTCAGATACAGCATCCTTTCAGGGTCAGTGTTCTCCAGAGTTGAACCACCACCCCACCCCACCCCCAACACAGGTCTTGCCAAAAGCCGGAAGTGGGGAAATGATATCACCGTCTGCGGCCGCCCTAGGTGTACAGCTCATTATGATGTATGTTTGGGTTTCCTGTCCCCCCATTTAGACTGTGAAAATAACATATGAGGTGGTGTCTCTCATAGTGAGACAGTGAAATGGGTGTTTATGAATTATATCATCATCAAAACAGCTTTGTTCATCAGAGAGAGTGAAGAGGAAGGGATGGGAGGAAGGTGCATCATCCAAAACAGTAAACTGACATAACAGGTAGCAAGGATGAGTACAAATGTTGGTTTTACTCATTATGTGGGATGTCAGTTTTGCATGATGTTGCAAACTATAATAGATTTTTCTATATTATTCTACTAATTTGTGTGTGTTCATTCGTGGCCTTCTATTGTTAATGTTACAGTTGTTTTCACCTATCTCCAACAGAAAGATGAAGTGTACCTGAATTTGGTTCTGGACTACGTTCCTGAGACTGTTTACAGAGTGGCCAGACACTACAGCCGAGCCAAACAGACTCTGCCCATGGTTTATGTAAAGGTATGTCAGTGTGTGTGTGTAGTATATAGTAGTGATTCTGTGTTTTAGCTGTTTTAATACTATTTTAAATCCAAAATAAATTGATGATTTTTACTTTGTTGTGAAACAAAATATCTCATATGAAAAATATCATGAAGAATCATTGTGTGAAATAAGACATGCACAAAATAAAGGGACTAGGCCTTCCCACAGCACTGTACAGTATACTGTAGGCTATTAAGGATCTCTGCCTCCATTGTGAGTTCTCTCTCTCTTGTGTGTTTGCATGTGGTGCACACAGATCATTCCCTGCTTTTCAAGTATCTCCTTAGCTGCATCAGATATGTGAAACAAATGTGAGAATAATTTGTGAAGGCAAAAAAGAAAAACAAACTCCTTACACATTACTCCTACTCACTGTCTCTTCACTCTAAATGATTTTTATCTCTGGGTGAAACAATAAAATAAAATAAAAAAACACCTACAGTTAATCAGTCCTCCAGAGCCGGAGAAGCACTGAGTGTGACCTTTTTAGCTTCACACACACCAATATGAGTATTATAACAGGAAACGTAGGATGAGAAGACCTTGCCCATGTTGACTCACCACCTTAACAAAAAGAGCCAGTTTTTGTCATCTTGTACCACTATAATGAGCTTGATTGAGTTGCCAAGTTTGAAAGAATAAATTAGGTACTATTTTAAGTTCTGCCTAGTTAAAAAAAATGTATATGAAAGATAAACGTGTATTGCATTAAGAACATACATGCATCATCCACTAAAATCACCAGCTTCTGATTGAACCTAAGGGGGAGAAATGGGACGCACAGTTGCAGAAAAGCGTTTCATTTTATCTCGACAAAGTTGTGTCGATGTGGTTGTCTAAACATTTGCTGATAACTCATGTACTTGACCACACTGAGATTAACCTAAACCCTGTAATGAAAACTGAGCTTGCTGTTTGTGCAGCCATAACCTGTGTGCGTGTTTCTGTGTGTAGTTGTACATGTACCAGCTGTTCAGGAGCCTGGCCTACATCCATTCGTTTGGGATCTGCCATCGGGACATCAAGCCCCAGAATCTGCTGCTGGATCCAGAGACTGCTGTGCTCAAGCTCTGTGATTTTGGCAGGTGAGAGGCAGAACCCACTTTTTTTTTTTTTTTTTTTTTTCAAAAAGTGGTCAGATTTTTCGTGACATTTAAAGGAACAGTTTGACATTTTGGAATATAGGCTTATTTACTGTCTTGCTGACAGTTAGATGAGAAGATCAGTACCACTCCCATAACTGTGAAGTAAACATGAAGCTAGCTCCAGTGAGTTATCTTAGCTTAGCATAAAAACTAGCCCTGTCTCTAGGTAACAACATGTATGAGCCCTGCTGACTAATACGTTGTATAATGTCTAATGTATTATTGGAGTCTTTGCTGTTTGCCTGGCAACCTCGTGGTGACAACAAGGCTTCAGGAAGTAACTGCACCCGGCCAAGAAATAGTGTGACACTCCAGTTTTTGTACAGATTAAATAACCAGTGAGCTATAGAGGGGATGGCACATTTAGTGGTGTTACCTTTGGCCAGAGAGAAAAGCTGGAATTCTTTAATTGTTCCTTAGGTTTGTTTCTACTTTCAGCCAAGAAGCAGCAGAGGACTGTGATGGTTATGACACTGATTATTTGCTTTGATTTTGTGTGCAGTGCTAAGCAGCTGGTCCGTGGAGAGCCGAATGTGTCCTACATCTGCTCTCGCTACTATCGAGCCCCCGAGCTCATCTTTGGTGCCACTGACTACACTTCCAGTATAGGTATTCTGACTCCAGCTGTCGCACTCAACATTTAACACTTGGACAAGCTTGACATTAGCATATAAATGATGATGTTACATGTTAGTCACGATTTATTTTGATGTGAATCCACTGGTCTTATGCTAATAGGACTGGCGGATTGTGGTCATGTCTTCCCCTGTTTTTCTGCTTGTGCTGAACTTCTTTTCCCTTTTCCTTTAGATGTGTGGTCAGCCGGCTGCGTACTGGCAGAGCTGTTGCTAGGGCAACCAATCTTCCCTGGTGACAGTGGAGTGGATCAGTTGGTTGAAATTATCAAGGTAATGACAGGGGTGACCCATGGGGTGTAAAAGTCTTCATATACTCTACTAATCAATCACTCCCCTAACCTGTAGTCACACACACAACCTCCCCCCTATGGACAGACACAGAACCTGGACCCCACACCCACAAGACTGAGATTTGCACTGAGCTGCACCTTATAATGTTACTACACTCTTGCTGCTAACATGCTGCTGACCTGATTAGGTCCCATACATCCCTTTTTATTTGTTCATATTTTTATATTGACTTACAATTGTGTGTTATGTAAATAATATGTCTGTCTTTTAAGCTGAGAGCTGCCAGAAAAAAATTTGTTGCGCTATGCATAATGACAATAAAGATTCTTGACTCTAAGGGTTTTATTTCTTTTCACAAATGAAAAGCAATTCAAGTTAAAGACCTAATGTTGCGTTCGTCTGTTGTTTTCTTTCCAGGTTCTCGGCACCCCAACCCGAGAGCAGATCCGTGAAATGAACCCCAACTACACTGAGTTCAAGTTCCCCCAGATCAAGGCGCATCCTTGGACTAAGGTGAGTCAACAGGTACAGGAGCCCTTTTATTTCTCTACGATCATGCTTGCTTTGCCAACATGCTCACTTGCTTCTCCACAGTCATCCAACCTCATCACCTCCACCCGACAAAGCTACCTGTGGACTTAAATGCCCAGCACTTGCTTTGAGTTTTTTTATACCCTCTGAAGAAAGACTAATAGAAAGAAAGGAGATGCAGTTTCCAAGCTAAAGGCTTGGTATTTCTTCTCCTGCATGTGAAGTGTTCCAAACTTCATAACAGGTAATATGAGGAGTGTTTACCTATGCTTTATAAAGAATGGCTTCCCACGCCTTTTTTGAATATCCTTCGAGACTCTCAGGTACAAAAAACCTGTCAGTGCTACAGCCACAGTATTTTTTTTGTAATCTTTTCGGGTTCTCTTGGTTCTGAAAAATGCACAGTGATCAACATGAAAACATGTTTTTCCATTTGTAGCACTTTTCATCCATGAGAAGCAGCCTGATGGATGAATGTTTTTGACATTTTAGAGTGAAATTCAAAGCAGGTAGAGGTTCAGGAACACTGTTCAGAATAGGTTTAGGGTGGGCTGATGGTGCTGAACCTCTCTCCTTTCCATTACAGCATCTTTTACTGAACCCCAAGGGCCAAATTTACCAGAAGATTGACCAAAAATGCCACTCGGCTCCATTTGTCCTTACTCTGTTCTCTGCTTCAGTCTGATAATGACATGTACTAGTTCGCCCCTTCATGCTCATAATGGTGCATGTTTTAAGTCAGATACTGTATAAGGCAGGTATTAAAAGGTTAAGGGGCATTTTCTTTTCCAGCCTTTCCCTCAGCGGCCCCGCACGCAGTTCTTCCATTGGATAACAGAGTCATCCAATCAGCACACTGTAGTGGGCCCTCCTGTCCATCTCCCAGGCACCCTGCTGTAGCCACTCACTGCCGCTATGCCTAGTTTACTGCTGTTCACCGTTGCAACATCCATGCACTGACTGATTGATTCCTACCCCTTCATACTAAGCTGTTACATTTGAATGGGTACAGCAGGTTGATGAGTTCTTCATCTTGTAACCCTTTAGATGCAACAGATTAATTTTCTGAGTCAGTTAAAAACACTAGAATGTCTTGACAGCACTGAGGAATAGACTTGATATGAGCTCCGCTGATGTCTGACTTTGCGTCTAATTGGTGTTTAGGTGTTTAGGCCGCGTACGCCTCCAGAGGCTATCGCCCTCTGCTCTCGCCTGCTGGAGTACACACCCACAGCCCGCCTCACACCTCTAGAAGCCTGTGCGCACTCCTTCTTTGACGAGCTGCGCGACCCCAATGTCAAACTGCCCAACGGGAGAGAGAAGCCTTCTCTCTTCAACTTCACCACCCAGGGTAAGCACAAAAAAGAAATTCTCAAACAGAACCCATTAACAGGTACTGTAGTGTCATTTTTGCATTGTAGATATAATTGAAAACAAACCGCAGAAATCGCATCACGGTTAAACGATTTGTTAGCACTAGGGAGTTAACAATTATTTTCATCAAAGATTAATTTGTCAGATATTTCCTCGGTTACTGTGAGGTATATAAAATGGCACAAACTAGCGAAAAATCTAATATTCAACTTACCAATATAAAAGATGAAGGAAACAAGAAAATATTCACGTTCGAAAAGCTGGAACCAAAGAATAAAGACCTTTTTTCTTAACAAAATAAGTCGGAACAATTCGGTTACCAAAATACTGAAGTCAGTTAATCAGCTTATTGCAGCTTAAGTGATAAAGTTCTGGTTTAAAAACTAAACGCATTTCATTCTGAAATCTGATATCACTCTTTCTGTACTTAAAAATGTGCATTAATTACATTAACTACATTTAATGATTGTGAGAGGTGAACACGGATTCTTCTGTTTGCCTTAGCCGTTTTCAGTGGTGCTCTCATGCTCCGTGATATCAGCTTACGTACATGCACTCAAATATCCTACTTGTTAGAATTCTGCTGGATTTACTGTTTAGCTTGTGTCATCTGTTTGTTTTTGTTTTTTTTCTTCTACCATCACAGGTTTGATTGTATTTATACATAAACACATCTGGAAATTTTGTTCCATTTCCTTCCTCCATTTACAATATTATCTCTTCACTTTCATAACGGTTTATCTTTCCATTGTTGGCAGACGTGTGGGAGTAGCTCTGTAAAAATAACATCGCCCATTCTTTTTCTTTCAGAGTTGTCCAGTAATCCCTCTTTGGCCTCCATACTCATCCCTGCCCATGCCCGCAGCCAGGCAGCTGCCTCTACCCCAACTAACGCCTCTGCCACCACAGGTCAGAGCCACCCCCCCTGCACCTGGCACTTGTTTTTCAGGCTGGCTGTATTTATCTGCTTGCAAAGGCTTCTGTTGCTGCTGATGTGAAAATGTGTTGCATCTATTAATGGTAATATATTTAATTGTAAGGGGAGTTGTTTTGAGCATTGGGGGTGCTAGCTGCTGCTATGGAAGTAGTTGCTTTGAGCAGAGAGAGTTGACTTACCTAACATACTGGTTCAGTTTCACACAATTACACCTGGGAGCAACTCCACTTGGCTGTTATGGGTCTTCCACACAAGCTAGAACTCACAGCAGTGGTTAGAAGTGGAACAGAGGAACATTACTTACCCCTTTTCTTGCCTACACTTTTCAAAGTCTGCAATTTGATGGTGTTGTCCAGCTTGTTTACTAATGAATACACAGACCTTTACTCCTATACTCTCGTTGTCTGTCACTTTTTCTCTCCTAATAAAAAGGTCATCTCCTCTTCCTGCCCATAGATGGCAGCAGCACAGAGCGAGGTCCCAGCACTACCACCGCTTCTGCCTCAGCCTCCAACTCCACCTCCTGAGCCTACAGAGCACCCTCCCCATCCCGGTCTCAGCCCCAGCCCATGGCCTCTCCATTGCCCCGGCCAGGGGGTGAGCTCTGCTCAGCTCTGCTCTGCCTTGCTCTCC